TCTCTCCTGCTTTATTATTTTTCTCTTTAGCTCTTACCACAATCAAAAATACTACACACTTTACTTCTCTATTCCTCTGTCTTTCCCTCTAGAATATAAGCTCCAAGTGAGCAGGGATGGGGTCTTTTCTGTTCACTGCTGAATGTCTAGTGTCTACCACACAGTAGGCATGCAATAAATACGATGAGTGAAAGCCTATTTACTCTTCAAGAGTTCACTCAGGAGCCTAAACCTCTTCAGTGGTTCTTTTTCCTGATTTTCCCACTCACCTCCCATATGTTCCTGTAGCACTTTGTCCTCCACCAGAGTAGCGTCGTTATTGATCTGACATTAAGTCTCACGTCTTCCTTTTGGAATTTATTAACTTCCAAGTGTTTAGAGATGACAGGAATTTTGATAAATTAAAATTCTGCTCATGCACCCTAAAACTCAACCACACACATACAAGTTAGGAAAGATTTCATTGACAGCAGAAAGTGTGAAAAAGATAGGATTTTAGTGAATTCTTAATCAGTTCAATGATTTAATAGTGAGCTGAGGTTCACAAAAACTAACCAGTAAAATAAATCACCCCGTTTGGTTTGACTGCATAAAGATGAGTCAAATTCCTCCATGTTGACCTGGTCAAATCACCAACAGAATTTTGTAAATAGTTCGGGCTGCCACATTCAAGAGTGTCCGCAGCACGTTCGAGAGAGAGGAGACTGGAAATTATACTATTTGAAAGAACTGGGAGTTGGGAAAGAGAACCGTAGGAGACGTAATAGATGCCTTCAATATCTGACCTGTCATATGGGTGAGAAACTCTTCTTCTGTGGGGTCTTAAGGATAGTTGGAAATCTATTTTGGCCTAATAAAAGGGTTCTCTTTTTAGCCTATCGGGGTGACCTAGGATGGTAAGTTCTTGAAGGTTCTGATGCAGGCTGGGTTTGGTAGGGAAGTTATGGAAGTAGCTCATAGCTTAGTGACAGCCACGACTGTCACTCTGGACTGAGTGGGAGGCTCCTGGTGAACGTTCTTTCTGCTCTTTCCAGCCTCCGTTTCTATGCTATCTGTTGGCACATGGCATTTTAGCTCACTGTGTTCTTTGTTTAAAGTGTCTATGATTTTTTTTTTTTTTTTTTTTTTTTGAGAGAGAGAAAGAGTGTGTGTGCCTGTGTGCACGCATGGCAGGGAGGGGCACAGGGAAAAGGAGAGAGAGAATGTTAAGCAGGTTCCACGCCCAGTGCAGAGCATCTGCTGTGGGCTCCTTCTCACAACCATGAGATCATGACCTGAGCCGAAATCAATCAGACGCTTAACCAACTGAGCCACCCAGGTGTCCCTATGATTTTACACTTCAGTATTCTGATCATTCATTTGATTTTCACGCTGCTAGCAGTTGCAGAAAACTTGTAAATATGGGCTTGGCACAGAGATGACTTTGTATTGTCCACCCTCTCCACTGCCTTTCATTCTGGTTCTAACATCTTGGACACATCCTCATGGCAGATGAATTAAGTGGCCTATAGAGAACAAAAAGCCAAATACAATGCTGGGAAAACAGGATTCTGACATTCCAGATGAAGAGACTGATGGTTAAATCTGGCGCTGCAGAGAGCTTTTGCCCAAATCCACGCCTTCCTTGCAGAAAAGACTGCAGGGACTCTATACAAGGGGGAGGCCCATGAGAAGGCCTACTCCCAAATATGTATTCTTTAGGTCTTTGTTCTTTCTTCCCTTCCTCCTCTCCCAATCTTTTGCCCTCAGCACACAGAACAGAGTATCTGTGACTACTCATCCTTAAGAAACAGCACCGTTACTATCAGCCATTTGGGGCTGTGGATAGCTGTCAAACACCTGGAGATTCTTGGATTCTTTTATTCTGTCTCCACCTTTTAAACATGATATTCTTTGCTGTTTACTTAGGATGTCTATACCCTGGTTTGGTTCTCTTCTTCTGGTACAAGGTAGGTGCTCAATAAACATTCGTTACTGAATAAATGCCAGCTACTTACTTTCTTAGTTCCAGTTACTATTATCTCTGGCCTGGATTCCTGCAGACCTCTTTGGTGGTCTTTCTTGACCCTTCTCCAGTCAGTTCACAATGGCAGCAAGAAAGACCTCAAGATGCTAGTCTGATCATTTCATTTCCATGCTTGTGGCATGGAAACTCCTCTGTAGCCCTATGGATAAACTCCTTACTTAGCATAGTAACAAGAGCCCTCCACAATGCCTACCTTCTCTTTGAGCCTTCCTGACCTTTTCACTGTCTGGTCACAGGCCCACAGGCTTCACAACTTACCATCTTCTAGTCTGTGCCAGATATCCCTCCCCAGTTTACATTCCCTTCTCCAGAGTTTGCCAACACTCTGGATTGGGGTGAAGCCCTTCTGGTGTGTTTCCATGGCCCTCTATCCTGTTCCTTTAAGGGTGATCATCAGACCATAATCTTCCTGAGCTGCAATGCAAATCATGTTAATTTCAGCACAATGTCTGGCCAACAGTAAAGGCTCACTGAATGTCTACAGAAAGCAGTGAACGTGTCCTGCAAGTTTGTGCCTGTTTTATAGGACTCTGCTGGCCCTTCTTAAAGGCCTTAGGGAGGCCCTTCCTAAGACACAGCACAAATATGTGACGTGGGTGGCAGGTGAAGAGTCAAGTGAGCAGAAGTTTATTTCTTGCTCTGCCATTAAGTAAAAAAATGCTTTAGAGGAGGACAGGATAATTAAAATTTTAAAAGTCCCCCCAAACTCAGACAAAGAATAACTTATATTTTGCCTAATTTTGTTAATAATTTATCATTGTTTTTATAACACTGTTATTCATATGTATGATTTCCTGATCAAGATCTAACTTGCACAAAATATGAAAATGATAATTTATGTACTTTCACATTACTTCCACATTAAAAACAGAAACTAGGCACTGTAAAGCTTATGCCGTTTATCACGGAATATCGGTAAGTATTTCGTATCTGGAAGGTCTATATTCAAGGGCTCTGTAAGCTATTTACTAAGTTGTATGCTTGGGAAGAAGTTCCCTAGATAGGTGAGTCTATCTCCCATTGTACCTGGCACTTAGTAGGACCTGAATTGTTCCCCCTCACTTGTGGTTTTAAAGAAACCTGAGAATATAGAGGTTCATTAGGACACAATGTTTCCCTCTGCTTTTGAAATAAAAGGGAGGCATTAATTTCTTGATTCCGTTTCACTTGGATAAAACAGCTTCTTTTTAAAAAAATATTTGAGAGAGAAAGTGAGAGAGAGCACGTGTGTGTGGTGGGGAGAAGGAGAAGGAGAAGAGAGTGGGAGAGAGAGAATCTTAAGCAAGCCCACACCCAGCACAGAGCCTGTGGCGGGGCTCCATCTCATGACCCTGACTGAGATCATGACCTGAGAGTAAATCAAGTCAGACGCTTAACTGACTAAGCCAACCAGGTGCCCCAAAACAGCTACCTTTTTTTCTTAGCAATAGATAATTCTTAAGTTATAATAATTAATATTACTTTTAAAGAAATGTAATTTTATATCACTGATATGCAGACCTTTTCTCTTTGGCATCTTTTAAAGAAAATAAATAGATTTTTAAAATATTAAACACATAAAACACAAACCAGCAACTACAAAGTCCCAATGAATCCTGAAAATTTATTACTTGGGAGAATATCAGATATCGATCCTTTGTTTTACAGCTCATGATAATAATCAGAAAATATACATTTTGAAATGAAAGTCGAAAAAAGAATAATTACATATAATACATTACAGATATTTTATTGGTACATAAGCAAAGCAGTACTAAAAGCATATTTATGTGTCCACAGTAGTGAACATGGCAATTTTCTGTTTAAAGCTGCAGCAACTCAAATCCTTGTTGGATCAATAAAGAAAGATTGGAAATATATTTAGGGCTATCACCATGTCTGGCTGTAAACCTATTTTTTAATCTTTCCCTCCCCCCATATATATATGTATATACTTTATTGCCTTTATATTTCTGCTGGTTTAATATAATTAGTATACTAAATAGTTATCTGCATTTATTTGGTTTCTAAAAATATATAAAATGCATTGGAATAGAGCTCCTGCAGCTTTCAAGCAGTCAAGTGTCTGGGCATCGAAAGCTTATTCTGGAAATGTAAAGCAGCAATACTGAATAAATAGTGATTGTTTTGTCTCCTCCACACAGCTGATGGCCTTCACCCAAAACTAAAAATACTGTAGCAAATAGTATAAACATGCAAAAAAATGGACATAATATAAAAGTAATACTTATGAGCTAAATTTTAATACAATAGAGATTAATAAAGACAACTTTAGGTAGAAGAGGGATGGGAACACAGCATTGTTATCTACATATAAATTAAGGCCCAATTTTTCAAAGGCAATGCACACAGGGAAATGCCCATCTGCCCACATCCTTTGCACACCTGAAATCAAGAGTTTTTGCCTTTTCCATATCATTTCCTCAATCCATTATTATAGTTCTAACTTGGAGAGATGTTCACAGAAATGGCTTTAAATGTAGTTTCTTTACTCGAAAGATCATTTTTCTCTTATTCACAAAGAAAATGTCCTTTTAATGCAGATGCAAAATTTATTTATGCTCTGGAAGCAAGTTCTTTGTTTTTCTTAAACACTATTAATAATCACATTTCACACCATAAATTCTGTATTTTTGCTGTTTTAGCTCAAGTTTGTGATTAATTTGAACTATGGGCATTGATGATTACTTCAGGAATGACTGAGGGACTTAAATGGGTAATTCCTATTAATACCAACCGAAGTCCCACATATAAATTCCCTGTGCATCAGGACAAAAATCATGCTAATAAATCAAAACAGCTCATAAAAAAAAAAAAAAAAAAAGCTCAGAGAAAAAAAAACTGAGGAAACCCACTATGGATCATTCTCTGAGGATGCTAGACACAATGCTATTTCAAATCATTCCTTGGTAAGAAAAAAAAAATCCTCTTCTAATGTAGTTAATAGGAAATTATAATGAAACAACTTGCAGAATAATAATAATAATAACAACAACAACAACAGTTAAAAAACCCTTTAATCTAGTTTAGTATTTAGAACCTGAATATTCCCCCAGATGCAAAATTTTATATTTGGTATTTTTATATATCATTGCCTACTGTTCTTGCCCTGTCCCCCCCGGCCCTGAAATGTATCCAAAAGATGTGGCACTTAATCTAACTCTTCTGTGTTCACAATAATAGACTATATTATTTTTAAGATGTTCTGAGGGAAATGAGTTTTCTTTCTTCTATTTTAAAAAGACTTAGAAAATATTTCTTAGAGATGTTCTTTCAGAAGTAATGTAACTGATTAAAAAGTATAGCTGCTCAATATATTTATCAAATTCACATTTGTATGTTCTTCGCCTCTAGGAAACAGTATTTCTATCTGTAATTAGGTCCATAAAGATTATTTGGCATTTGGAAATTCAGAGGAAGTTGTCACAATGCTGCCAGTCTTAAAGTTATTAGATTAATGTTGATAATAATTTACAACAATTAAGTTGGACATTGACTTTGTGTTTTTGATGGCATACCAAGGCATCTTTGCAATTAAAAACTGCAATGTTTAATATATCTTCAGTTTAACATTTTGATTTAAATAGAATGTGATCGATTTATAAAAATGTTTTTCTTTGTGAATAAGATCTTAATTTCTCTGAACAACAATAACAAAATGACTCTTGGTATAGGATGGAACCCTTTAAAAATAAGGCATATATTGGGCATACATAAATCATTACCATCACAAAATCTACAAAGTATCTTGATTATTTTTAATTCTAATTTTTAAATATATATAGATATGAAATAACTATTATAAATTGAGAACAAATCTGTATAAGTTGTGGTTATGTAGGTAAGAATAAATTATTCCTCAAGTTATTTGCAAAATAGTATCATGGCAAGGTCAATTCGATAACTCCAAGAACCCAAAGAAAATACTACCTTTAGTTGAGGTCTGCCATTTAGCTGGACTAGAAAAGGCAACTCTGCATTATTACCTTCAGTTTTCTAGAAGCTTCTATATATTTTCATAGCCATTCTTAAAATTTTTCATTGGAAACCTAAATGCAGCATTCTCAGCATTCACTTAAATAAGTCAAATGTGTTAAAACATCCAAAGTTGCCCTCATGCATAAGATATAACTTACATCTTTTTATTGTTACCATGGCATTAATATACTAATCCACTTTTACTTTGTTGCATGTAAGTAATACAGAGAATATAGTTTCCTCAGAATTAAAAACTACTTTAAATTTCAGGTTAATGTCTTACTTATGTTGTACCAAATTTTGATCAGAGGGAATGTAAAAATGGCAAAATGGTATCTGACCACATCCATCCAGATACTACTTGTGAATCTTAGTTAAGTCCCTACTCATGGGAGAGGTGTCGACTCATTTTTGGTTTTATAAATAAATAAGAAAATTGAGGTACAATTGGGAGACTCATATCCTGTAAAAGCCAAGCTCAAAAACGAAAAAAAAAAAAAAAGAATTTATCTTTATTTCCTTTGTAAAAAATACCTAACTCCAATGTACTTTCTATCTAAGTGATTGGAGAAATAGCAACAATCCATAAAGTACAGAGGAAATTATGTGTAAGTGGTGACTTACCCATGGGTGCTTACACCAACAGACTATACATACCGAAATGGGTTATTTTAAAAATATATCACTTAAAGTAACCTTTCTGAAGCAGATCAACCAGGTATCTCTTATGTATTATGGTGACTCTGAGGATCCATGAGATTAAAACGATTAAGGTAGGGCAGAAACAGAACACATAATTTATTAGGAAACCCCATGCCTGTTTGGACAGATTATCTAACAACTACACTTTTGTTTAAAGTGTCTGAAGTACCGCAAATCTTTTAAACCTACAATTTACCTCGTGAAAATATTGCTCTTCTGGGTATGTGGTCATTCATATGCTGGAAATACTGTAAAGAAAAGATCTGAGTCCAGATGAAAACTAAAACCTGGATTTTTTGTCTAATGAGGCAATGGCTAGGAGAGGTACACAAGCTAAACACAAGTGGGTTCCTCTGGAGTTAGGGCAGACGCTGGAGCTCCCTATGGCACTCGCAGAGCTGTAGGCCAGCAGGTACGGATGGACACTGGTGGCATGCATGCACACAGTCATAGTCACACAATTCAGAATGTAATTCAGTCACAGGATAAGTAGTAACAAAAAATATGAAAACAACAACATTCACCCACTAATCGATTATATGGAATAAATTAAACTAAGTCAGTCACATATTTCTCTTCGCTCTTAAGTCATGGTTTTATTTACGTATACACACAGCAGAATACTTTCCTAACGCTCTCAAAATGCTACAAATAAAAATGAAGGCTTTGCATTACAGCTGCTGGACAAACACGTCAACACTGTCGATGTGTGTGAAAACACAGTTTCTTTGTTCTTTAGCATCAGTGCACAGGGTATGGCTCCGAGTGGTATGCAATTTAGGACAGAAAAAAGAGACGGTGGCTTGTGAAATAGATCCTCTGTTCAGCATTGGCACAAATCAAAGAAGGAATTCTTACTGTCCTTGGTACCTTTATTAGGTCTCTCCCCTAAAGACAGATAATGTTATACATAGATGCCTTCAGGATTGAAACCAGATGAGATAGGATTCTGCAGAATACGAAGATTACTGGGGAGCTGCCGAGATGAACCAGGCCGCTTCAGGGACCCGGACTGGAATGGTGCCTCTACACAGAAAACAAAGAAAACCATTTGGTGTACTCAGCAACCTGAAGTAGTCAGCAACGCAAAAAACTAGAACTTCTCCTGCCCTCAAGAGCCAAAGAGCAAACTGTAGAATTTGCTCCCCATGGGGCCTGGGATAAGAGGAGAAGACTCTTCTTGACCCTCTCTGTTGACACAAATAGTTTTCAGTGATTTCAACACCTTTTAAAAAAGGTGAGCATTCTCTCTTTCTTGGTTGTTCAGATGATACACATCTTTTAAATATCAGCACAAATTAATAAAGACTTTTAGGAGAGGAAGAAGGGGCATAAGGAACAGAAGCTAATAAAACTCAATAGACAATGGATCATACATCCGGAAAACCTAAAAGAAACCTTTAGGTTTCTTAAAGAAGCAGTTAAAACAAATGATGTAAGATCTGGGAATTACATGCCCACCTATGTAAATCAACAACCTAGATATTATTGATTTTTCCCAGAAGCACGAAGTACGTCATTTTTTTTTTTTTTTAAGTGGCCCAGGCTTTGAACAGTAGGCTAGCATTTAACTGAATACAAGTAGTTCCTTCAAAGCTAACCAGTGGGAATAAAGTAAAGAGAGCAGAATTCTCAACACCTTACCCCTTTCTATATCTGCGTGTGAGGCCTCTACTTCAATGGGCTCCGCTGGCAAAACAGTAACTTTTGTCCCCGTCTGTTGGATAAACTGCTGGAGGTTGACTTGCCGTAGCTCTTTAGTCAACTGCTCCAGTTCTTGTTCTTTGTCCTAGATGGAAGTTAAAATTTGTCTTTTTATTTGAAGAGTCACTCTTGGCCCTCTAAAGACATCCCGGTGATAGTCCATCTGCTTTAGGGGCTGGATGTGTGATCGTGCTTTCCCAAGAACACTGTTAGCAAAACCGGTCAATGTTGCCACAGTGGGCTAAAAAGAGGTCATTTCTGCTTTGGGGCACAGGCGAAAAAATAAGCAAATAAAGGACACAGGGTCTTTAGTCTGTCCTCTTTAAGGTGATGCTTTCCTCTGTTAGGAATACACTATGCACCTGATGAAATAAATCTATGTCTGTAAACTTTAATCAGTAAAATACTAGTTTTCGTCCATCCCAATGTTTACGGCAATCTTGCTGTAAGTGTTCACAAATTTCCTTAATGACTTCATAGATGACTGCAAAAATTAATAGTCATTTGGTCCATGAGATTCAGAGAAGTTTTTGTTTTTGGTAAACTGTTTAACTTTTCATGGGATTCATCATTGAGATACATATTAGAGCACGAGGAAAGCAAGATTCCCACAAGATTTTCGATGTGGGGTTCTTAAGTCCTTGGCAAAGACAGGTATGAGAACTGAAGATCCTTAAAGAAAGGAGATCAAGTCTGGACAGCTAGAAAGCTCAAAAAGCACAGAGAGGCATTCCGTGATTTGAATGGATGTTCTTTTTCTCCTTTACTGCACTAGAGGTAAAAGTGGCAAGGCCTCACCTAGGCTGAGTGTGTCTGAAGACTGGTAGGGGTAGGAAGAGATACCAGAAGTGAGTGGTTGTTTTCTCCACTTACTTTGAGTGTAGGGGGCACTGGAGATATGTTAGTTTGATTATGAGATACTTCCCAACGAGAATTACTAGCAATGACTATCATAAATTAGTGTTTCCTGTAAATAATATCAAAGGCAACACAACTTCCAACTGTATCCTTTTTAAGGGTCAGAATGAATCCAAATAGTATAATACTGAAAAATCAGAGGTTAATAACCTTCTACTTTTACGGAATGAGAAATTCTTGATTTTCAAAATTTTGGTGGTAATTTTACCTCTTGACTATTGTTAGTGGCATAGAATAGAAATCATGTAAGTTCTTGAAACCTCAGCTTTCTCTGCTTGTAGAACTGTTCACATTCTAAAGTAGCTCTGCTCAAGCTTCCACATGCACTGGTACTATCTGGAGATACTTTCACAACAGAGATTCTGAATTTTTAACAAGTGTGTCCTGACTACATGCTTTGAAGAGCAAGCCTCTAAGCAGCACTGACCAATACAGCAACTACCAATGAGCACTTGAGATGTGGCCAAATGTAACCAAACCCAGAAATTTAAATTTAATATTTTAAAATTTATTTAATATTAATATTTAGTATATTTATATATATATAAGTATATATAAATATAAATATTATTTATATGCAGTATATTAAATATCCTCTTTGCAATTCCCCTAACATCACCATATTTTCAAGAATGGGTATCTGAGAAATAGAAGTTGAGTGATCAGGATCTAATGGCAAAATATAAATGTTCTTATATGTGAACCAGAGAGGGGAAAATCAGAGAGGAACTTTTGTGCCCCTCTCCTTAGGAAAGTAAGTAATATGGAGAAGAGAAGGGGTCTATTTACATCTTGGGAAAGATGGGGGGAACCACAATGGAGAAGTAATAGATAAGCAGTCAACTAGCCACACAATCCTTGGTAAACCAATCTGCAGTAATCTCTTTTGGCTTTGGTTTCCTTATCTCTACAATGAGAGAAGGTCAGATTCACTATCTCATCATTAGTGTCCATTCCAGCTCTGAGATTCTATTCTCTGTATCCCATTACCTAATGTTACAACTGTCAGAGTAAGAGACCTCTTTCTGTGGAGCAATAATCAGTTGTGGCTTTAGCGTTCCTCTTTGTTTTGGTCTCACATCTTAGCTTTGTCATAAGTCACAGAAATTTTATGAAACTTATACACCAAAGTAGGTTTCTAACTTTTTAATTTTTTTGACAGACAGGATCACAAGCAGGCAGAGAAGCGGGCAGAGAGAGAGGAGGAAGCAGGCTCCCCGCTGAGCAAAGAGCCCGATGCGGGGCTCGATCCCAGGACCCTGGGATCATGACCTAAGCCTAAGGCAGAGGCTTTAACCCACTGAGCCACCCAGGCACCCCAGTTTCTAACTTTAAATGTAAGAGAAAATGGACAATATTCAAGAAAATGCCAAGAATATATTAATTCTTTTAAACAGATGAAACCTTTCTATAGAAATGTTCTTACCTGTAATCGTTTGGTGGCTTGTCCAAGAGATCTTTCTACAGCTTTAATGCCATTTTCTAACCTCAGACTCTGTTGGCCTTGAATGTCAATTTCTCCCTTGACCTTACCAATCTTTCCTTTAACCTCTTCTTCATTGACTTGTGCCTCCTGAACTTCCCGTTGTAATTTTTCTGCTTCAAGACCACTTTCCATAGTCTGGATCTGAGCCAAATAGTCCTTTAATTTGCTCTCACATTCTGTTATTTTCTGTCTTATTTCTTGAAGTTGATCCTTCAGCTGTTTTTCATTTTCCTGTTCAATCTGCAATTCATTTTCCCAAAATTCTTCCTCTTCAATTTCGACATCATTTCTTTTGATCTTTTGCTCCAGGCGGACAATTTCCTCTTCAAGGTTAGAATTATATTTTTGCTCCCAAAATTGTATTTCAATTTCATTTGATTCTAGCTCTTTCTCAATGGATTGAAGCTTCTCTGTCTGCAACCGGATCAGCTTCTTTAATTCATCTGCTGTTGTCTTGCAGTTGTTCAGCACCTTTTGCTTAAATTCAGTTTCTTTACCCTTTCCAAAAATGTCCATTAATCCTTTGGCACCTCCTGTAAATGTTAATGATTTCCTTTTAGGTTCTCTCCTTTTGATTGATTTGTCAATCTGAGGCCTCAGTTTAGCCAGTGGGGGCAAACTCTGCCTATATAAAGTTCTCTCCGGAATTCGAGCCACACTGTCTGAAGTGGGTCGCTCACTAAGAGATGGCCCCGTCCGACGTAAAATTAGCTGTACATCACTAGCATACTGCCCCCATTTGTTTAAGGATATGATAGGATTTTCATGAGGTGCTAAGTGTCTTTCAGTATCTCTCCATTTTTCTATAAGAGTGTACCTTCCTGTTCGACCTAGATAAAAAAAGACAAGAATAAACTGTCAAAGTGGAATATGTGATAGCCAAAATGATGCAACAGAGGACACTATTTGATAACTGTGTCTTCTTGATTAGAAGCCAAGTCCAGTCCATGCTGCCTTTTAAACTTCTCTTGAAGGAAAAAAAAAAAAAAACACACCCTAAAAAACAATCCCCAAAACCAAACCAAAAGCAAAAAAACAAAACAACAACAACAAACTTCTCTTGAAGATATGTTAACAGTATAAAACTATGGCATGTGAATTACATATATCCTTCTGACTTGCTTAGAAATTCAACTTTATACTTTAAACCTCCATGAGACTCTTACATTCTTATCAAATGCCCGATTACCTAAACATTCTTGTTTGGGGCAAGACCTCCAGCTCAAACAAAGGATGACACCAGAATGCCCCACTGGAAGCCATGAGGGCCTGGTCTCAGGAGCTAGGTAGAACTTCAAAACTTAAGTAAATTTCCACTTTGTGAATCCCTCTGGTATTAAAACTCAGGGAGGTTGAAAGCCCCATTTTACTCCTGAAGGGAAGTATGGAGCCAATGGATAACTCAGCTCACAGGGGTCGGTACAGTTCTTTCCTCTGTCTTTGCATGAAGGCTTGGCCAACTCATAGCTCACACAGCTGGTATCTTTCTGAATACCTGTGGTAAATAAAAATCACCTCAGTGAAAATGATCCTTGAAAATAATTTTGTATAAAAATAGGGGCCCAAAGAGAAGTCTTCTACAGTTTTGGTAGTTGTAACTTCAAAGATTCTTGTTTAAAAAAATTAAAAAATGCAAAAATACTAAAAAACAAAAACAATAAAATCACATTTAAGTAGAAGTTATACTAAACCTAACTGGTAATTACAGAAGATCAAGTTTCAGAAGACAGTATGGTATCATTAACTTGAACACTCTTCCTAAATATTTCCATTTAAGGTGGGTGGGTCAGATAGATTACATTTTGTTAAAAGTATCTGCTGGACACCTGAAAGTAATATAATTGTTACTTGTCTATTATATCTCAATAAAAAAGTCTCCATTACTACTTATCATTATTACAAGGAAGAAAATACTGATGCTGTCTTCTTGCAATTACAACACTGGTATATACAGCTATTGATTTATCCTCTTTTTTAATTTCATGAGCTTCTGAACCAATAGTAGTTATTTTCTCAGTTATCAGGTCAATAAATGCAGGTCTAGATACATATATATGTGAATATCTGTGTATGTAATTCAGAAGTAGCACATTAAGAGTGATATTGCTCTACATGAATGCATATGTTCTCATTTACAGAAACTGAATCTTGGGTACAGCTGACAAGTTGCAGCTTGTGAAGCAAACAGATCGGAGTTTTAATCCAGGGTTTTAATTACCTATTGGATAAACAACCCAAGTTCCCTTCTAAAGTGGAGATACCACCAGTATCTCACAGGCTCTGAGAGCAAGAGTCAGGCATCATAAGATCTATCACCATCACCTGACCCATGGTAGGTATTCAATCAATATACAGTGGCCATTATTAATTTAAAGCACTGTTATTCAAGTAACAAAATGGCTGACCAGAAACCTCTCATGACCATAAGCTGACTTAAAAAAAATCCTTAAGAAACTTTTAGCAACTCCCAACAATATAACGCTGGAAAGAACAAAGGCTCTGCAGTTGGAAGGCCTGTGTTCAAGTCTGGTTCTGCCAGCTAAGTAAATGACTTGCGCAACTTATTAAATTTCCTTCGGCTTCCATTTCCTCATCTATAGGGTGAGAATGGTATTTTCTTACTGACAATGTTGTTGCGAGAGTCAAGTGAGATATAAAATATAAAACTATTTTCTAAAATTGAGCACTTCTATACAAATGTTAGTTGTTACTACTGTCAAAATATGTGGGCAAACAAGGGGAATGAAGAAACCCTTAATACGGTAGATTGACTTCTTGGAATAAAAAATATTTCTAGTTGATTTTTCAGGTTAAAAATTACTGTAACTACTCCAAGAAAAAACACATGACAAATCTGCAAGGTTAAAACTGCTCCATGTGTACACACTGCTTCAAAGAACACAGCACTTTGTGTTCTTGGCTTTGCTGCCTATCAACTACTTTTAGAATCTCTTCTCTGGAGCTCTGTGTCCTCATCGGTAATGTGAGGGGTTAGAATAGATCAGCAGAGCCTTCTCTTAATTCTCTACCAGGCCAATGAAGCATCTTGAAAAAGAAAATGGAATCATTACATTAGATAAGTTATATTAACAATTTAAAAACCCCAGTTTAGCCATAATTAAATATGAAGCTGATTTTTCCAATGCTTAATGGTACTGCTGCCCTAGGAGAGTATCTTAGTAGAAGATTATTTAGAATTGCTTCTACTGCCAGTTTTCCCTTTTTGTTAAATAACACATATTTAGTGCAATTAGGCAAAAAGAAAAAAAAATCCTATCCAGCAATATAAAAAAGCTTTTATAAAACATAAATGAATTAATAGCTTTGATTTTATTATAAAAATTAGGTTTTAGATAGGTTATGTAAAAGTTAAATCCCATTATCATTATTTTTAATACTATGCTTGGCAAGGCCCTAAAGATCCTATTTCATTTGGAGAGATTCAAATTCCTCCTGCAAAACTCCTTTTCAATGCATTTTATTAAATGGATACATGTAGTTATACTTGGCACACTATCTGATGGACCCTTAAGAATAACAAAAAGGAGTATCTATCCATACCCACCTATCTACGTATCTGCAGCATTTGTACTTGAGGCTGTTTGCACTATCTAGAAATGTATGCCATGTAAGTAATGGTACGAATATAAAATACTGACTATACTTTTGAATAGTTGAAGCAATTGTGTGATCTCAAGGATCATTAACTTCATATAATAAATAATAAAGAGACTTTAACACATTAGTGGAATCTTACTGGATGACTGACAAAAGGAAATAGGGTAACAGATTACTCTGACTCAGTTTAAAGAAGAAAAGTATGTGTAACTGTGGAGTAATATGAAGTTTTTGAAAATATACACCAAAACTCAAATACGGGTCACCCAAAAACATTAAGCACTTATTTCAACCACTTTTTCAATAGGGCAACCTTTTTTGAAAAATAATTTTAGGAAATTTCTTAGAGCCAAAGAACAAAATCATGATTTAAAAGTCACATCTTGTTATTTATTCAACAAATCTATACTGAACACCAAATATCTGTCAGAAATAATGTTAGGCCCTGGGGGTTCTATTAATCATCAACTCTCTTGATAAGATTTAGTTTTAACTTACATTTGGTTTTTTTCTTCAGTTTCAAATACTTCTTACCCAAAGATGAATACTGTACGTTATTCAAAAGAATATGACAGAGAGTTCGCATTAATCTCTTATGAATTTAATGCCAACATATCCTCCTGTTTCTGGACATATTAGAAGTAGTAACAGGTTATTCTTAGTCATGAATAATCTATCCAAGCACACTGAGCTTTTCTGATAACAGATTACTTTGCTCCTTGAGCTATATAAACATTTTGGATTCTTATATAGACTCCAGTGAACATAACTAATCCCTCCATAAAGACAGAATTCTTAGAAGGAATCTTGATCTCTGTAAAAGAAATTACATTGTATCATTTTATAGTCTGTTACACGCTTTTGATGCTTACACATATATATGTATGTAAAACTAAAAAACATATTAAAAATAAAAATATATAATATATACGTAATCCTAACTGGTTATGAGATAGGCAGTATAGCTTTATGATCCTCAACTCACTAGTGAAGAAATCAAAGCTTAAAGAATTTAAAGGAATCTTCCAAACACATCCAACTATCCTGCAAATTTATCAATGAATTTTCTATAAGTCCTGAATGTAGCAATTAACTTTAACCATGGAGTGTTTATTTCATGATGACAGTGACAGAATGTAAATATCTGAGTATAACCTATCAGCCAGCTGTGCACAACTCTTAGCTAAATCATTCACAGTTTATTTTCCCAGTGTGTTGATGAGTCACAGAATTATCATGTAGTCACAGAATTACTGCATATTATTTTAGGAACTATTTAGGATTATATGATAAGTTTACTACTATTAAAAAATAATGAAAACATAAAATTTATTGATTTCATAATGATTATCATTTACTTTGCCTATATTTGCTAGGCACTATGCTACTTACTTTGCATAAATAATATTAACCAAAATAACAGCTAGCACTTATCACTATAGACCAGTAAGATTTGGAGGATATTTTGTTAATATAGAATAATCTAACCCATCCTGTCTGATGCATACTATGAATTACATGTCTTCACATTAATTAATGTTTTATGTAGAAAATCCAAAAGGTATTTAAAATTATGAATGATTACATTATTGTTATAAATATCAAAACTGTAAAACATGATCTTGGCTATAAAAAAGCAGTATATTTTACTATTAAGTGTTTTTATTTCTTATTTCAATATAATTCAATCAATAACTATATTTCTTAACAGATGTCCACTGGATTATAGGGGGTATAACCAACAGAGTATAATAGTAGTTAAGAGCAGGGTTCTTGAGTCAGACTATTGGTTTGGATCCCAATACCCTCCTTACTAGCTACGGGAGCTTGTGCAGGTTATCTGATATTTGTGCCTTAGCCTGATCATCTCTAAAGTAGAGATAATAACAGTGCTTTCCTCATAAGACTGTTATGAGGATTAAGTGAATTAAGTGATGTGGACCATTTAATTCATGATCCAGTAAATGCAAAATGATGATTTAAAACTATCAAGAATTATGGAGAGTAAAATCTTTTTTTTAAGCTCATCTAGAGGTACATAAAAAGTGCTGCTCATAGTGATTACTCTTAGGAGATAGGGTCATTTTTTTCTGCTTTACTCAAAACAGTCTACAATGAATAGTATTATTTTGTAAACAGATACAATATCAATACATTTGTAAAATTCTAAAATTGATAATTTATGTATAAATTAAGAGTTAAGTGTGGCAAT